ATAGAGTATGGAAACATTAGGCCATCTGTTTTGATTGCTGTCTACGTCCCCACTGCTATGATGAGTTGAGTTGCCACCAGAACAAAACCTTTCCATAGATACGTTGTTTTGTAGACAACTGGAGATCTCCCTCACTGTGGAGAGATTTTTTTTCACTTCCTGTTTTGCCTATGGTACAAGAAGAAAAGGTTATTTTCAAATGGGTTTTAACTACTCCCTACTAAAATCTAATTGTTTTCATTACATATATGACTTAAATTCAGCTTCAGTCTGTGGATTTAATTCATATTTTTCCATTTTTAGCTTAATTTAAAAATGACTGCGGTTTTTCTTTATAGCAACTACTCCACAGTATATGATTATAACTAGCAGAAGTAATTTATAGAGTTGATAATGATGCCTAAAACAAGTGATCCTCAATTCAAGGGATATGAAGGAATATTGTCTCTTTCTGAGAATAACAGCCATAGCATTTTCCTTTTGTAAACTCAATACTCCCAACATTTTTGGAAGTTTGTCTTTATTCTTAGTCTTAACTGTATTGAACATGTAACTGTTACTACTAAGCAGCTTGGTTGCTAGATATTGCATTACATCAGACTAAGTTAACCTCCCTGGCGGTATTCCCGAGTGTAGCTCGGGGTAAAGTTTCAGTACCACAAGCGGTAACCCCGAGCTACACTCGTGCTTACCATGCGGCGCTGCTCCGCGATCACTTACCTTGTCCTGCGCTCCCGCGATGTCCCTCCTGCAGTGTCCCCGCAATGTAATCCGGCGGATGCCGGCGTCTGTCTTCTGGGTTCCGTCCCCTGCGAGCGTCGGGACGTACAGGGGACAGAACGGCGGGAAATTTGAAAATGACAAAAAGTGACATTCACTAAAATCACTAAAATCACATAGTAAAACATTACTGTATCAAACCATTTCACATACATTTTGTCCCTAGTGCTTTGTCCTGTGCCCTGCCTGCATTTTCACTGTTCTTTCTGCCTGGAAACTGAGAAACGTCCATGGTGTCCAAAAAGTGTCCCTTTAGGTCAAAAGCGGTTTTAGACCAGCTAGAGAACAGCGATAGTAAATCAGAACCACTTGCAGAATTGAGTGATAATGATTCGTGGGGAAATTTGTTATCAGACACTGAAAACGATTTTGCGACTTTGCTCAGTGATGTGCAAAGTTGGCACTATTTTTCAAATTTCAGTGTTTTTGGTTTGATTATATTATTGAATTAAATTTATTATTATTATATTATTATTTTTTTTATGTTTATTTATTAAATTATAATTTATGATTTCGTGTTTCAAGTTTTATCATACCCGGGATGTTTACTAGACTCTTGTTCGGACAGATTTCAGTGAGTTATTCCTAAAAATTACAGGCCTACAATAAAAAAAATACATATTTCCATGCAAAAAAAATGTACCGCTTTGAGCACAGAAATATGGACATAATCAGAGATTAAGTAAGGATACTATTGTTTCATAACCACACACGCAAAAAAAAAAAAAAACTTTAAATTTTATTACTTAGTCCTCACTAATGCTTAATAGGATACTGCACTTTTATTTTTTTTCTAGTTAACATGTGCCTTGCATGTGCAATAAAAAGTATAATAGAAGTAATATTTTCTTAAAAAGTATATTCTCAAAGTGCATGCTAAACACTTCCGTTCTTTTTTTCTCTGATCTATGTGTGATGGCTATAAAGGCTAAATAAACCTAAAAGGACACTTTGCTTGACAGAACTAATGGTGATTTTGCAGTGATGCAGAATTTTTCTGATTAAAGTAGCGGGAGATGTCTTAATCTTCCTCTCATTATGTGTCTATTCATTCTAGTGTATACAATCATGTTTCGTTTCATCTTTCATGCTGTATGAATGTATTTGACAAACTAAGGATGAGGATGATTGGTTCTGAATGTGACTCCTCTAAGTAAAATAAATGAATATGATTAAAATTTGGAACCCTAGTGGGGTGTATAGCACAAGGATGGGCAGCAGATGTTCGGTCAGTGTAACCAAGACAGTGAAAGCAGATGCAAGATATATATATATATATATATATATATATATATATATACTATATTCAGAGATGCATATACACCTATATAGAGGTGAAGAGCAATAATAAGTAATAATAATAATATGTTCAGTTTGCTTAATTCGGTTGATTGTATGTGGAACTGGTTTAATTTTTTGGGTTCTCTTTATCATAACCGCTTGTTGTAAATAATCAACTACTGCTTGGATTATGTTGTATATTTCCTTCCTTGAGACTGATATAGTGTGCTATATTTGCGGTATAGTTATGCAAGTATCTGCCCTTTACAAATTTGTTCTATGTCAGCATTAGGTTGTATCCATTTAACATCTAGACTTTAAAAAAAACCCTTGTGACTGAGTAAACATCAAACAATTTGTTAGAGAACTGTGTAGGTGATACATTGCATTTATCTGCTATTATTGTTGTACTCGCATTCTGGTATAATTGCTTTTAAAGTGTCATAAAGCGTCTTAATTCTATATTTTATACATATGTTAATTTTTAATATTTGAAGGTGCAGACTATTGATGATTACATCTGCAATATTTGGGTCATATTCTGGTAGCATATATGTCTTTACGGAATGCACAGAATTCACATTGCTCCCTTGGGAAATCTACAATACATTACGCTTCTCATCTGTGATTTATCACTTTTATATCAATTCTGGCATCTAAAGCATGGATAAATCTGCTGCTTACTTTCCGCAACTGCTCTAATGTCATTTCATTATTGATTTAGTAATTTAACATATGGAAAAATGAGTATGGTGTGTAAGGGTCACATGCCATTTGGAGCTGTTAAGGTATAATAAATGCTTTTGTCACTGTATAACATTTTGTTAATATGGTTATAACTTACAGGGTCAGGCTTATGTCGATTCAGCTACTCAGATCCTGGAATTGTGGTGTCTTTTACCAAGAGCAATGCTACCAGCTGGATTCCCCTTGAGAGAATCAGGTGTGTTCATAGATATCTATAGCTTCTTTCTGATATCTAGATTTTGATGAATTATAAATACCGGTATTTCATAAACAATGCTTTAATGACAGGTGTTAAATTATGCTGTATGATAGTTACTTCTTACTCTGCACCCAACGGTCAAAACTACTTCCGTATAATTCACATTTTGTTATGTGAATGTACAATATATGTAAAGCACTGCTCTATATAAAAACCTTGTGACAAATAAATAATGTTTGAATGTATTTTAATCAATGACTGTGAAAAATACTTTAATAATTCCCCGAAAATAACCACAATCCTTTTAAATTTTGGTTTTCCAGCTTTTTCACGTATTAACAACATTTTCCATTGCTCTTTTACTGCTTTTCTCACAGCATTTTTATAACTTTTTTTGAAAAAGTAAGAAAGTAATATACAAAAGTTGATGGAATCTGGTTAAATGAAATGCCAGATTTTGCTGTCTGCATTGTAAATAGACTTCTGTACTGAAAAATTACTGCAGATAGCTAACTTGTTACAGTGATAGCAAGGAGTAATGCACATAGGCAAAGTCATCATCCAATGTGAGGGCGTATCTATATGTAAATAGGCATCACTTATCCTAATACATGGACTAAAAGCAATGCACTCCTCATTCATGAAGAGAATAAATACTAGTAACCGAAAGGCCTCATTCACACTGGCACTCCTGTGTTTAGCTTTTCTAAATGAAGAAAAAGTTGTAAAGTAAAAAGATCTTTTATGTTTTCCAGATCACTTTTTTCTACGTTTGGATGTTCCTGCTTTAACCACTTGCTGACCGATATACGTATATAGATCTCCTGTCAGCAAGTTGTTATTACAAGGCCACGGCTGCAGCTGGAGCCATGATCTTGGTATAGTTTTTTACAGATGGACATTTTTATAGCACCATGAAGGGCTCCCACCCGCTGTGGTTCCCAGCCTCTCCTTTTCCTCTGGGGAGCCTGGGACCGCAGTAAGTGGCCAAAACGTCTTCACACAGAAGAGATGGAGGAACGTCCCCCTTCTTTTCTGTGATGAATGAACCCAAAAGCAACAATAATTTTGTCACTTCCAGTTTCTGAGCTGTCCAGCTAATCAAGCTTGATCAAGTCAGCCAAATCCTCTTTCAAACCTGCAAAATATTTTTATCCTACTGTAGCACGAGCAGCCAAAACCCATATGAGGGCTAAGGCTGCTGTGAATTCATAGGAGTGCAGGAGTGATGTCCACCCTTTACAGGAATCTGTAGGTGTACTTCACTTGCAGGATCAACAGTTATTTGTGAGATTTTTCAGCAAGACCAAGGAAAAAACAGTAAGAGTAGATGTACTTACAATGAAGTGCTACAGCACATTTTTTTTATGGAAGGCCATAGTTCTACAATAATAAAACTGTGATCATATGTGAATAAATGTGAAAAAAAACCTATATCATTGGTTGCACAGATGTCCAAACATCTATAAAACAATATTACTTATGGCAAACCCCACTGCTGCTTTGATTAAATTGTCCCTTTAAAGATGAACTTTTTGGCAGATAAAAAACATCACAAATAAAAGGCTAAGTTCACCTTTAGAGCATGTTACCTGATACACCTGTATTTAGGGTGTAACATATTACATGTTCAAGCACCTTCACCCTCAGTTTGTCTTAGTATCAGCTTCTTGTAGGGCCTGAACAGCTGACCCTAGACTGGGGGAAACCACACATGGAGCCAGTCTGATGTTCTGCAGTTGAAGGAAAATGCTCATAAAAGAAGACAGCATTGTGACAGACAGCTAAGCTCCTCAGTCTGCTGATTCTCTTCTTACTTTCCAGTTTTCAATCTTGAGTACTTAATCATTGCAACAATTTAAAATATATGTATCTCTTTCTTCCAGTGCACCCTCAAATGTTAGCACAATCATCCACATTATCTACCTTCCTAATGAAGCCAAAGGTGAAAATGTGAAGTTTCGATGGGCACAAGAGAGTACACAGGCTGGAGATGTGTATGAGGCATGCTGGGCACTTGACAACATACTGGTCATCAATGCTGCTTATAAGCAGGTTGTGTTGGAAGATAACCTAGACCCAATGGACACTGGAAACTGGCTTTTTTTCCCAGGAGCTACTGTCAAGGTTTGTTCTCTTTTTATTTTATGTTCTCTGCCAGTAGATATTGTCCTGAGTTGTGACTGATACTAACAGTAAGAATGTGCCATCTAGCAACATTCACAACTTAATCCATCTGTTTCAGTCACACAATGGGGTTGATTTACTAAAACTGGAGAGTGCAAAATCTGGTGCAGCTTTGCATAGAAACCAGTCTGCTTCCAGATTGTTTTGTCAAAGCTTAAAGCAGAACTCCAGTTAAAGTTTTTATTTTCCCATGAAGTGGGGCTGTGCATGAAATGCATGGGGGGGGGGGGGGAACTGCTCATTCTGTCCAGGGGCTCAGGAAAAGCTATGCTTACCCTGTCCTCCAATCCTCCAGAAAACCACACTCTCCCCACGTCCAGCGGTGGACTGTTCCTGCCATCCTCAGAGCGGGTCTATGGGGTTGATGATATCAGGAACAGCCCATTCACAAGACTGCTAGCATGCGGAGGGCAGGAGCTGTGGGAACTGGTCTTGCGCTCGGAGATTAGGTAAATTTAATATAGCTTTATGATCCCCTAGACAAAAACGAGCAAAAAACAAGTTATAAATAAGTAGATAAATATGCAGAGTACGTACTCGAGATTGTGAAAAAGGGACTGCATGTACTAATTCAGGGTGTCAAACTGGCGGCCCTCCAGCTTTTGCGAAACTTCAAGTCCAATCATGTCTCTGCCTTTGGGAGCCATGCTTGTAACTGTCAATATTGCAATGCCTCATGGGACTTGTAATTTGGCAACAGCTGTAGGGCCACCAGTTTGACACACGTGTACTAATTAAATGTGGTATTAAACCCAAAGGCAAACATTTGTTATATTGCAGCTTACCAGTTCTTAGATGCGATGGCTGCATTAATTTTCATTTTAGGTTTTTTTCTTCTATTTTCAGCCGGTGATTTGGCCGGTACGTCTGTTATTTTTCAAAAGAATTCGCTCTCTTGCAGATGTCTCAGTTACAGGGATGAGAAACCTTTATTCCAAAATGAAAAAAAAACATTTGCTGAAATGCTTAGAGTGTTAGCTGGAGTTCAGATTCAATTTGTTAGTGTATTTAAATCATTTGGTACAACTAGTACTCCCATCACCCCAGACTGATAATGCTGCCTTCCATGTGTGCCCTCTGTGCTCCTTCATCCAGAGTGGGGTGACTGTAATACAGAAGGTGTATTATTGGCCAGATCACAGGTGAGAATAAAGGAGAAAAAAGCCTACAAAAAGAAAACGAATGCAGCCACCACTTCCAATGATTGATAAGCCGTAATATATTTCATTTTTTTATTTTGAGTTCAATACTGCAATGAATTTACTGATTACAAAAGCTTGTAGTTTCAGACCCGATTTACCTATAAGCAATGCGGGAAATGTAGGGAATCCTGAACGTTTCCCAGACTGCATTGAAATCACACTCCTTTCATGCAATCTGTTAAATTAATTACACCTCAAAACAGATCACAAAATGCAGTGCAGTTTTAGGAATCGGAACGCTTGGGTGTGAACACCCCTGCGAACTGATTCCGGTGCTGCAAAAAAAAAAAAAAACATCTAAAAGGTTCCTCCATCTTTTTTGGACAGGTTCAGTGCGAATTCAGCCCATACAAAATAAATGGGCTCAAATGGCACTACAAAGTATCACATGTCATTTCCCTCACTGCTATAGTGTGAATCCACTCTTAAAAAGGTGTACAGCATTAATAATGGTATTATAAATGCAATGGAGTTGATTTACTAAAACTGGAGAGGGCAAAATCTGGTGCAGCTGTGTGTGGTAGCCAATCAGCTTCTAACTTCAGCTTGTTCAGTTAAGATTTGGTTACTGTAACTGAAGCTGTTTTTGGAATCGGATTGATTTCTCTGCAGAGCTACACCAGATTTTGCATGCTCCAGTTTTAGTAAATCAACCCTAATGTCTCTGCAAAGGTTTTAATTTATCCAGGTCATGGAATCACTAGTATTTATTAGGCACATTCATCTAGACATGTTTTATTAAAAACCATTCACTCCTCATCCAGTTGGTTTCTTCATTTCCTATGAAGTTTTCTTCACAGTGATGACAGATATTTAAAACAATAGAGTAATTGGATACTGAGCAAAATTCTCAACGTTCACTTAAAGGTCTACTAAGCAGGCAGAGCATTACAATCTAGAGGCCCCTGACTAATTAGGTTGCTGAGTCCACAATGCCAAATGTGATTGGAGAGTCCCTTTCTGCTGACTTGATCCAATTCTGATCTCCTCAGAAATCAACAGGTTTTGGGTCTGGCACCCTTCACACTTTTCTACCATGCAATGTGCAAAAGCTCCAAACTTTATACATGCACAATGAAGGACAACCAGAAGGAGCAATGCCGACTATTTAAAGCATGGGTGCTCAACATGTGGCCTTCCAGCTGTTGCAGAACTACAAGTCCCATTATGCATTGCAAGCTTCTGACAGTTACAGTCATGGCTCCCAAAGGCAGAAGCATGATGTGAGTTGTTGTTCCTCAACAGCTGGAGGGCCACAGGTTGAGCACCCATTATCTAAAGAGATTGCCTTCCTCTCAGGGACACTGTGGAATATGTTATATAGCCTATCTAGGACCAAAGTTCAGGTAAATGTGCACTACATATACACAGCGAGAGAGAAGAAAGTAATGCCACATTTTAATAAAGGTATAACCTTGAAGATGGCAAACAAGCTGACAGCTCATGAAGCCCTTGGTCTTCTATCTTGTTAAGCTTTTGTGATAGCAGAGTATGATTATTAATAATTTCCATTATTCTCAGCATGGGTAAATGAAGCTGAAAGAAGCAAGTCATAAACCTATTTTATTTGATTAGCCATCACAGAATATAATTCTGGCCATTTCTATTAGAACCGCATCACCTAATATGTCCATCCATCTGTTTTTGGTTGTGATAATGACCAAATGTTCTGCTCTGTTTCTTTCAATGGGCGTCTTGTCTGTTTGCTCTGTCTCTGCCATATGAGAAGCACACTAAGTTGCCCTTAATTTCAAAACTCTGTGTTTTCAAACAATATAATCCTAATATAACATACACATACTAACAGCAGCTAGCAATAGCTGTACTTGCTATAGAGCAAGCGTACAGTGAGGATCCACTAGGCTCAGATGCAAATGTAAATGAGAATTCCAACAACAAAAACTACATTTAGTAATATTACCTGCCATACACACAAAGGTTTCATATAAACTAAAAACATTGTGAACATGAAAAAGTCTTCTTACTGATAAAGGAACAGCGACAATGGTTTATGTTGATGTGATGACAGTAAAAAAAGTAAATATTCATGAACTGGGGTCAAAACTGGATACTCGGGGGTCATGGGCCTGCATTGCTAATAATGAATATACTATATCTGTCAATGTTTCACAGCATTTAACCATCTGTTTACCATTCCAGTTCTAAAATAATAGTAAGAGCTGCAAGGTAAATTATAATGACAAGAAAAAAATAAAAAAACAAGGGTAATATAGGATAAAAAAAGGAGAATGGGGGGGGGTACTGAAATACGTACTGTTTATTTTTATCGTTAGGGCCTAATTATTTACTTCCTTTTTAATGTATTTTTACTATAATAGAGACAATAGGAAAGCCCATCCACCATATAAAAATTCCACATTTTTTTTGAATCATAGATGCTGAAGATGTTAATACAAGTTCTAAAGATGAAAGATGACTGGCACACTTGACAGCATCTCTTTTTTTCCTCACTCATTATGATTGTTCAGACGTCTACAATCCCACATGCAGACTGACAGAGACTAAGAGAACAGTGTTTCATTTAGAGGCTGCCTCCCAGTGTACTTGTCACAATCAGCTAGATTATTGTAGTATGCAGGTTTGAAGATGAGCCAATTAAATCTGGTGCTGACATATTGGAAGGTTGACATAATAAAGCACACTTGGTGCTTTGCATCCTGTCTTCTGTTTGTCAGATTCATTTTTTTCCATAACTAGTAATTATTAACGCAGTTGGATTGGAGTTATTTTGTTTGAGTTGGAATTTAATTTTGTTTTACGGAAGAAGCAGTATAAGATGCTAAAGGGTATGGCATAGCTGCTTAATTTTTATTTTTTTTGCCTTATCTGTTATAGGCTTTCAAAATTTGGTTTTAATGTTGTCACAGCATACACATTTTAAATATGAACCTGATCTGATGAAGAAGATCCCCTTTAACCCTTTTGCCGCCAGAGCCGTGTTTGCATTTTTTGTACAAATGTTTAAAAAATAATTTTAGGCCTGAAGATTACACAAAACCCCCAAACATTTTATATTTTCTGAAAGCAGACACCCTAGAAAATAAAATAGTGGTAGTTCCAATTTTGTATGTTACATGATATTATTGCAAAGGTCTAGAAAACACCAAAATTCAGTAAAAATCACACTAAATTGAATTTTAGGGCAAATAAATGCAATAAATTACCCACATTTTTTATAAAATACAAGGTAGTGCTGAGTAATAAATACCATACAAAATCTTAAATTTGCATGCGCCTATGAAATTGTGTCAAACTTCAGTACCCTATATTTTTTATAGACAATGCTTCAAAGGCCCCTATAGGTCATCAGTTTAGTGTTATGGAGGAGTTCTGGTGCTAGAATTATTGCTCTCACTCCAGCAAGCGTTGCAATATGTAACATGTGTATTGCAATCAATGTTTTCACACATAGGCACCCTGAAGTGTGCATTTACGTTTGTATGTGTGTATATATGGGGGTGGGGGGCCTCAAAATTTTTGGAGGGGGGATGTTTTGTGCTTGGGTGTTACTTTATTTTTTTACAAAAAAACATTTCTTTACTTAACTTTTTTTTTTTCATCATAGGGGACACAAAGGTTCTCTTTATTGAGACACGCAGGGTCTAAAAGACCCTGTGTGTCTCCTCTGTGATCCATTAGATGTATTGCAATGCAAGCCGCATTGCAA